CCCCTTCGCCATGGCAAGGCAGTGATCCATGAAGGATAGTGTTCTCGAAGCTACCAGCATGAGTTTGACTAAACTGCGGGAGGCAGTGGAAGACAGAAGTGCCTGGCGTGCTCTGGTCCATGGGGTCACGAAGAGTCGGACACGGCTAAATGACTAAACAACAACAACATCAGACACATAGATGTTGCACAGTTTTTATTTTTTTGGTCTATATATCAGAGTTTGTTTGCATGGGTGTTGAGGGGGGAAGCAGAAAAGTAGGCGGACTTCCATAGAAGAGACAGAAGAAATGAAGACGGTCTTACAACAGAAGCCTCTGGAAGTAGCTCCACATGGTAGCCATAATAATGTATAAAGTTGCTTGAATGGATAGTCTCCATGCAAATGCCAGCTATCATTCAAACCTACAAGGCTGCTGTGGAGACTCTCAACCCAACAGGGTGATCTGCATGGTGAACAATTCCCCAATTATGGCATGCCCTCCCTAATAAGGCTAGTTTGGCACCTACATTAAGATCCTTTCAATACCAATACTCTTTTGTTTATTCTCCTAGGACTTTTAGGACCTTTCTTCTCGCTTTTTTATTGCCGTTGGAACAGATTATTTCTGCTGGGTTTTAAATGTTCTTATGCTGCCTGTGCTGGTTTTTAGACAATGATTTTTTTTTTTAAAGAAACATTTTAAATGCTTAATTTGAACTCTGTGAGAAACTGGCCACATGACTTTATTGACTGGGCGGTCGACAAATGTACTAAACGCAATCATTGTGTGGGGCCACCAAAAAGAGGAAGCTTCTGCCTGGCAGTACTAATACAAGAACTAGCATAAAGCCTTGTCCAGTTCTAGAAACTTGGCTCCTGGCCGCATTACTCACCAGCTCAAAGAGATGGAAAACATGCACACCCACCAGAAGTCACAGTCCAGCTGCTGCCAAAGGCCAGACTCCCCTCCATTGACTTCATCATTTCCCAGAAATAAGGTAACTGGTAGCCTGTAAGGGCTGGCAAAGATAAAGGAATGATAATGGAACTTCTAGGCCTCAGGAGTTAAAACATCCTTTCTCTTTGAGAATCATGGCAGCAGGAGCCACAGTAGCAGCGGACAGCAAGAAATGAGCTCCCACTTAACATGCTATAGGAAGCAAATAGGGGATAATCTGTGCTGAGCAGCACTGCCACGCCAAGAATCTGACTGCATCTTCCACCACTGCCTGACAGCTCTGCAAACCCAGATGGTATTCGCCATGCAAGGTTGGATTTTTGTATCCAAGTTTTGTGGAACTGCTCCTATTGCCCATTCCATGGCATGACTGTCAATCTACAGAAGGAAATTTGTAGCAGAAGTAACAAGAGTGTGTGAGTTACAAGACAAAAGATAAGTTCACAGTTATCAGTTTTTCCCCTGAAATATGTTCCAGGGAAAGCTGGTATGCACTTTATGAATTACTTGGATGAAGGAATAGAGGGGATGCTCATCAAATTTGCAGATGATACCAAACGGAGTGGTAGCTGATACTGCAAAAGATGTGATCTTAACAAACTCAAGAACTAGGCCAAAACTAATAAAAATAAGTTTCAACAGGGACAAATGTAAGATTCTGCAATTAGGCAGAAATAATCAGATGCACAAATAAAGGCTAGGGGACACCTGGCTTGACAAGTGTACATGTGAAAAGGATTAGGGGTCTTAGTTGACAACAAAATTAAACTGAGTCAACAGTGAGCTGCAGCAGCAAAAAAGCTCATGCAATTCTAGGCTGTATCAACAGAAGTAGTGTCCAGATCAGGGGAAGTAATAGTACTACTCTATTCTGCCTTGGCCAGCATGATGGACAGGCCTCCAGCCTCCTCCATGAAACCAGTCCTTCAGTTTGCAGATCTGCTTCTACCTTTATTAAGATCCAGTGTTTCTACTGATGTCTGCACAGATGTTACATGGTATATTGCAAGTTAATAAGGAACTAATTTTGCAACAATACTTGGACATGGAGCAAAACTGAACAACTCTACCCATAATCATAGAATTGCAGTATTGGAAAGAACACAAAGGGTTATAAAACCCAAATACAGGAATCACAGCTAAATAATTGCTGACAGATCTAACCTATGTTTAAAAACCTTAAATGAAGGAGAATCAACCATGTTTTTAGGTATTCTGTTCCATTGTCAAACAAGTCTTCCAAATGTTTAGTTGGATCGCTTTTCTTGTAATTTGAATTCAGTGATTCAGGTCCTACCCTCTAGAGCACTGCTATTGTTGTTATTAATTTTTTATATCCCACCCATCTGACTAGGCTACCTCTAGTCAGAGATCCAGCAGAACCAGAAAACAGCTTTTACCTCTGTCACTAGCCTGCCGCAGATCACCAACCAGCATGACCAAGGCAGTTTCAGTCCCATGGTGGTGTCTTAATCCTGACTGGAAGGGACCTAGGCTTGCTGCATCTTTAAAGAGCTGTCATCTGGAAGATATTTGAAGATGGCTATCATATAACCTCTCAGTCTTCTTTTCTCCAGGCTACACATATCCAACTCCCTCAATTGTTCCTCATAAGGCTTGGTTTCCAGGCCCTTTATAATCTTGGTCATCCTCCTTTGAATATGTTCCAGCTTATCAATACCCTTCTTAAACCGTGGTGCCCAGAACTGGCCACAGTACTTCAGGTGGGGTCTAATCAAGGCAGAATCAAGCAGTACTATTAGTTCCCTTGATCTGGACACTATACTTCTGTCTCTGCCTCAATACAGGTCATTGTACAGGGCATCCAAGGATATAAATGAAAGGTAATAAATAAATTACAATAAAACCCCTTTAGTGTTTTTCTCACCGAGAAATAAATATATTGTACCATTTTGCAATGAAATTTCCTACATTTAAATAGTTATAGGCTTTCTGATTACTTCAATGATTTGTTTCTTTAATTTTAACAGTAATTAACAAAGAGGTATTTTTTCCATTTGTGAAATTAAGCAAGCATAATTTATACATTTATTTTCAAACAGCTAAAAGAACTTTAAATCTCATCTCCCTTCAGAAGTCAGCGTAGCTTCCTTGATTCATCTTAATGTTAATTTAATTTACTGGATTGCTCCACCTGGCTGATTACAGTTCTTTTTTTATTTCCAAGTCAGGTGCTCTAGGATGTATGACATTGCAGGCTTCCCCTCAAGCTATGAGACTTTATGCGTCCAGAACAGCATCTTGCTAGCTGTTCTTGGCATCACTGACTATCATGTTTCCAGAATGTAGCTTACTTCTGTGAAAGTTCTGAACTAATTCTTAACTGAAGGACATTTCTCACCACAGTACTAGTGGACTGATAATCATGTACCTCTCCCTCAAGTCAAGGACTTACATATGTAAAATTAAGTGTGTTTCTTACAAGATGATCTGCCCTTTCACAGTTCTTACTTCTGAGTATTTAAAAGGGTTACATCGGTTTACAGATGCATGTCCTTCAGATTTGATGAGAGGCATGTGCTTTGTACCTCTGTATGAAAATATAACTTGAGGACCCGTCCTGGAAGCCAATAAAATCTGGTGGCACATTGTTGAATCAACATTCAAAAATCTGTCTACTGCCAGACCTCATTGGTCACACCCAGGCAACATGGGTTCAACTCCCTTATCAGCTACAGACTCAGTGGATAACCTTAAGAAAGTTACTTGAAAACCACAATCTTATTGGTCGTTGTGTGAAGATAAGTAAGATAAGACTTACAAAGCATTTTATGCTTTCATCCAATTCCAAATATCCTCCCATGGTAGTAAATTTGACTGCTACAGTCAGAATGAGTAACTTCCAAATAAAACTTTATGAAGATTTGGCTACCATGGTGCTATACACAAACATTTCTCAGTTAAGTTGCACATTGCCTTTTAAACTGAATAGATATCCTGCATGTCCATCTTGCCTAGAAGCTTCACTGGGTTTACTAGCTAATACATAACACTGAGCTACCTCCTATACAAACACGCACCCGGTTTCATACACCCCTTCTCCTTTTACACTTTCTTTACAGCTGTGGGCAACTGAGACTCACAAAATTTGAGGACTCATAATCTCACTACTCCATAACTGACAATCTTTGATTATCCTAGACTGTTTTTTTAAAAAAGAAAAGCCAAATAGCTTAAACATACACATATAACAGGCTAGTCTCTCATGGATCTGCCTGTCTGCCAAATATAAAAAATATTACTATAGAAAATAAATTGTGTATCCTGCATGCAGAATAAACGTTTTGTTCAAATCATGGTACACAGTATTTCTCCCTTCACTTGTTTTTAGTATCACAGTTTTTAAAAGATAAATCATAAAGTCATATAAAAAATTTAGGCAGAAAACCGAATTACAGTGGCAGTGAAAAATTGTATGACCAACACATCGATTCTAATTTGAAAGCATTTCTGGAGACAATGCAAAATGTAATTCTATTGCTGAAGTGAGACAAGGCCATTCTCAGACAAAACTAATACAGAAGTCCTACAAATAATATTGTTAATAATCCACTGATATGTATAACTGATGACAATAGTGTTGACAGCATTATATTGGAAAAAAGAACCATAGCTTGATGGGAGCATTCAGTCCACTAGTAGAGGCAGAGCAGCAGCTCTAATGCTGTTAGAACTGCAACTGCATTGTAGGAAAAATTCATATGAACTGACATCTTCATAAATCAGGGACTTCATGGAAGAGCACTTGGGCAATAAACTAAGGAATTAAGGAATTACCACTAAGGAATCTTAAAATGAAGTGAACAAATATATGGCTGCATAAATATAGCTATGAAAGCAACAGTGACATACAGGTGGTTAATTGTTTTACATGGGAAGAACTATGCATAACAGAACTTACGTATCTTTTCACAAAACCTAATCCAGTATTTCTGTCTACATTTGACTTTGCTTACCACTGAATTGCAGCTTAGCAACCATAAAGCTCACTGGGGTAGGCTTGGGCCAATCACAGCCTCTCCATAGATCCTACCTCACAGTTGATAATAACACAGGAAGTAAAACCTGAGTTCCTTAGAGGAAAGGTGAGTTACAGATGTAATAAGTAAATGGGAATCTCTTTTCATAGCAGCACTTAGCTCTTGAGACATGTGAACTAAAAATGATAGGAAATGTCTCTGAACATGTGCATCACTCACAATATATCTTATTTCTCTATATCTGCAGTTGGGGCAAGAGCATTTAGGGTAGTGTGTCATATCCAGGAAGTCTCACTGCTTTCAATGATTCATAATTTTAAGTACGTCCAAATGAAATCAGCGTGATTACAGGACTATTTTCAAGAAATGGTTAAGAAACTATGCCTTTTGATTCCATTCTGCAAACTTCTTGTACAAATGCTAGGGTTGCCATATTTCAAAAAGTAAAAACCAGGACATCCCTAACATATGCTGCTGAGGTGTTCATAGGTGTTCATGCTTGTAATGGGTTCTCTGTTTAGTCTATATCAGTTTACACTGATGTGCAAATTGTACCACTATGTTGAATTGCGAAGTCTGTGCAACACAACATTGATGTGCATATCATAGCTTTTGTGTTCTTCAAAGTAGAAGCTATACTAAGGATTGTTTTGAATTACGTTTTACTCAAAAAGGCCCATTGGAATTAATGACCTAAGCTAGCCATATCTATTAATTTCAATCAGTTTATTCTAAGTAAGACATACAATGAATACATTCCTAAGTACTATTAACATATTTGAAAAGTTCAAAGGTGCTATTTCATTCTATAACCATTTTATAAAATGCACATTAATAAACAAGCAGTAATTGTCATATATACTGAATCCTTGAAATGACTACTATCCAAGAGAAATATTGCTTAATATTTCACATTCTGTTATGCATATGCCAGAATTGCTAATTCGTAAGAACATGAACAAAGAGGGCTATTTTGATCACCTCACCCTCATTATCTTTAATTATAACCTCCTATATGAAAAAGTCTGTTAGATGTATTAGAAATATATTTATCTGTGGGGCATATTTTGAAAAGAGAATAATATTGTTTCCTGTTTTACATAAAACAGGCTTGGAGCTGTTGTACAGCTATACAAACATTGACTAACTTGTATAGAGAAGGCAAATGTAAAGAATTATATTGTAAATATATCTACAATATCACTTTCTATAGCTGTTGTATAGTTATTACTGTAAATCTAGGTTGCGTTTTGTCTAAATCTTTCATTAACAGACCTAGTGTAAAGAACAAATAATATTAAATATATTTAACCTGAAAATAATATTTTTTTTTGGGGGGGGGGACAACATTTCTGGATATTGCTTATTTCAGTTTGCTGATTATCTATACTTAGTTCCCATATGGATGCTAATCATACTCATATTATTTTAAAATGTTATACTTAGGTAATTTGTATAAAATACACAAAGTGCAGTATATTGTGTATGATTTCAATACACTGGCAAGTATTTTTTTAAAAAAATAGAAACCCTTCTCTCAAAGGCACTATACATAGAACAACACAAACAACCTGCTATGAAAATCAGAAACCAAAAAACAAAACAAAAACCTGAGCCACAATTTTTATTCAACAATTTTAAAAGCCTAGATTTGCTACAAGTAAATTTACTGGGAGCAAATTCCATTTAACTCAGTTCTAAGAAACACACTGCAATGGGCTGCAAAACAATGTTAAATAATTCTGAGCGATCAATAAGAATAATGAGCAAAAGGCACATGTTTCAACTTCAAGCAGTGTTTGAGAAATAGGTTGAAAGTTCAAAACAAGTGGTCTTAACAAAACACAAAAGATTAGCTATATAACAAACCAAGAACAGCTGTTTCCTGTTATATTCCAGTAGGGGGAACTAAAGATTCACCATCTAACATTGCTTTTGGCTTACAGACCTGTGTATATTCCTCTAACCCCCTGTCTAATCATCAGTGCTAACATCAAATAGCTACTCTTGTGATCACTCACGGCCTCAGCTGCACTTTATACACTAAAGATATTGCAAGTATTCAGACATACACCTTTGATACAGCTATTCCTTTACTTGATCATCCTCTTTATGCTTATTCTTCAGTTTGTGCACTCATTTGTCTTCCCCAACACCCCTACACACAGAATATATATATATTTCTCCTCCTAGCCGAACTGAAAAGGGAAAACTCTCTCTTCACACCCCTTGCTAGACATGCTTTTACCTCATGAGAGACCCCATATACTCTATCTTTTTCCTGGATTGCATACATTGTAAGGGCTTCAACAGTTTAGAAAGAAGGTGGTAAAGGTGTTCTTTTTAAGACCTTAAGGAATTAGGTAGGTTGAAATGAAGAGCACGGGGTTGTTTATAAAATATTGATGTGATATTCTGTGTTGTGTTCTGTGTTTTGTTTTAGTCAAAACACGAAAAATGAAAGGTCAGGGAAACAGAGAGCAAACAAAACAAACGCATATGGTTGACCCCAATTTACTACAGCTAATTTATGCACAATGCAAAACACAGAAGAAGGGCTCCTCATGTTCAGGTTAGCTTACCATTCCATAAACATGAAGAAAGGGTTGCAACCACAGTTACTGTGTGTAAGAGAGTTGCTTGAAGAGCTTGTGAATGGCTTCTATGTCAGTTCCATGCATGTACTCTTCTGAATGTGCAGAGTTGATCACATCATTGCTTTCACAGATGCAGAAACTAGAATTCTGCTCAATTTGCATTCTTGGTAGAATGCACATTTCAAGCTAGTTTGGGAATATGATGTTTTGTTTGTACAAGACCTCACCATAAGTTCTGTCAGGTAGCAAGGTGGGATAGGGTGGTCATCCTGGAACAGAAATTACATTGGGGGGGGCTTCCCCCCTTACCACAGTGGTATCCTACAAAATCCCAGTGTTGATAAGTACATACATATAACCTGTGTATATGTATACATAAAATAAGTCAACCCAATTTTGAAAGTCACAAAGCACAAGGGCAGTGCAAATAAGAACTGAGCTGATAGCTCAGTCCTACTCATGCTTACTCTGAAGTCCCACTGTGTTCAGTGAGCCTTATTCCCCATAAAAAGATGCATAGAATTGTGGCCTTAATCTTGCATATGATCTGTGCACATATATGGTATAGGGCATCTGCATGTATAAACATGTTCCAGGCAGCCACAATGTGGCATGTTTATACTGGAAGGAGGGTTGCATAAATTGGTTGTACACCCATCATATAATATACAGAGCCCAGCTTGCGGCAGGATTCTGGAATCTAACTGCAACCTTGTATTAGAGTAGGTCTGACTATATACACTGGAAGTAGTGTATACACTGTACTATACAGTGTATACACTGGACTATATACAGGAGTAGGTCTGACTATATACACTGGAACTTGTGTGAGTAAATAAGTATACAGCGGTACCTCGGGTTAAGTACTTAATTCGTTCCGGAGGTCCATTCTTAACCTGAAACTGTTCTTAACTAGAGGCGTGCTTTCGCTAATGGGGCCTCTTGCTGCCGCTGCGCTGCTGGCACACGATTTCCATTCTCATCCTGGGGCAAAGTTCTCAACTCGAGGTAACTCTTCTAGGTTAGTGGAGTTTGTAACCTGAAGCGTTTGTAACCTGAGGCGTTTGTAACTGGAGGTACCACTGTAACTTGTATTTGCATAAGGCAATGCTGACTTGCCTCCATTTTACTTTTAAAGGGAGTTGGTACCTTTTTTTTTGTTTTGTTAGCCATCTGTGGTCCTCCTGAGTGGCTGGGCGGGCTTTAAGCAACTACAAATATTACGCCGTAATCCGGGAGAAGGGGTCTTTGAACATGTGCAGAATGTCATAGTTCTCTCCCTACTAAGCAGCAGCTGCATATCACTACACACCTGGAATTAGGCAACATGATCGCCTTCCTGCACCTCCCTTTTTTAGAAAGTACCAGCACATGAAAGCTAAGTGAGAAGAAGAGGTTGAAATTGCCGTCTTCTTTCAAAGGCCTCCCTGTGACAGAGAGAGAGAGAAGAGGCGAGGAAGACTGAATAATTAGGGAAGAGACTTCCATGAAATCGCTCGTCGAGAAAATTACCTGCCCATTAAATGAGAAGCAGTGAGAAGCAATCATGTTAATGTTACCTATAGCCAACAGTAAAGAGGGAAAAGGGGGCTTGGGAGAGAAATGGGATGGGCGGGGGGGGGGCAGAGAAGCCGCGCTGCTCTGTGTGCCCCCCCCCCGTCTTCTCTTCAATCCTTCAGCTGCCTCACGTTGTGTGTGTCTGTCTCTCTTTCGTCCCCCCTCCCTCCCACCGCGATCCCTGAGGGGAACATGAGAGTGGGTGTGGTGTTTTACAGTGCTTTAATCCACACCCCAGCTCTTCCAATTCCGGCTCTCCCTTCCCCCCCACCTCCGTGTTTGCTCTACGAAGAGCAGCAACAGCGGCGGCAGAACGAGCCCAGGCTGTGGGGAGGCCGCCCGGGCGAGCTCCAGCAGGAGGGTGCTGCGCTCCTTCCCCTCCTCTCCCTCGCGCGCACACCCCGCCGCGCCTGCCGCTTCCCGCCTCGCTCGACTCCTTCCATAGTGGGAGCGACACTTCCCCCCCCGCCCTCGCTCACCGCCGCGCGCGTTTACACGGCAGCGGCGGCCGCCTCAGCCAGCAGCAACAACCGTGCCCACCGCCACTCGCTCTTTCCTCCAGCCCCAGCGGCACGTTGGGAGTTTATTCTCCTCAAGCAGTTTCTTCCCGCGCTGAGGGTAGGGGTGGCTGGGTTGCCTTTTTTATTTTTTATTTTTTGAGGTGGTGCTGTGGAGAGGGAAGGAGGGAGCTCGCGCGCCAAGATGTTGCTCAGGCGTCCCTCTTACGGAAGTTAAGGGAAGCAACTCCGCAGCTTGAAGTGATTTTGAGGAGGTGGTGGTGGGGGGTTGGAAGAGGAAGAAAATGAGAAGCAGGAGAGTTAAGCCAAGCCCATGATTTCGCTCCCTCCTTCCCCGCCTTTTCCTCAGAGCGCCGAGAACTTTGAGCGAGGTGGTGGCGGCGGGAGGGGACGCACTTTCTAGGAAACGTATCTGCTTTCAAAGTCTCTCTCGTCTGCCGAAGAAATCCCCGGGCTCTGGATTGCAATGGAGAGTCTTAGCCACACTTGAACAATTCCTCTGCCTCCGCTGGATTGGTGGGAATTTCGGAAGCGGAGCCAGCGCGCCGAGCCGGGAGCGGTGCCCCCTCATCCTCCCTCGCTCTCCCCCTCGCGCTGCTAATCTGCATGGAGCTCAAAGTGTCCCATTCAAGCCTCTTTCTCGCCGCTGCTCTCCGGGCTCCTTCCACGTATCCTTAGGTTGTAGGAGAATCTCAACTTTTGGTTTACCCCCCCCCTTTTTTTCTCTCTCTCCCTGGAATTGGATTGCCTTTGAATATGTTAAAATGGGGCTGCTGACGCCACTCCTGCTGCTTGGATTTGTCTCTTTTCAAGTTGATGGTAAGTTAAAGTGTTGTGTTTTACTGTCATTTCTTTGGAGCAGAGCACGCTTGGATTTTGGGGCTCGAAATCCTGTATAATGTGCATGGGCTATGGAACGATGGAAGGAAGGGATGGATATGAACATGCTATTAATAAAGCAAATCTTCTTTGCTAACTTAGCAGGAAAATAGTTAACATAAACTGTAAAGTGTGTGTGGGGGGGAGAGAGGGAGATTGAAATCAGCTGTACTGGTAAATCTCGACGCACCAACAGATTTCTGTTGCTCTATTTTTACCCCATGCTGAACTTTTTAGGTGGAAAATCGACTGATTAAATGGGGTAATTGTGCTTCTGATTCAAGAGAGGTGAATGGGAAATTTACTACCGTGAGGTTCTCGCTGCTCCATTTGTAAGCAATGCACGCAGAAAAATGCAGTAATGTGTGGAATGCGCTAAAAGGTGTGAAATAACTATGCCTGTGAGATGTGTCAGGTGGAAAGTATACAAAGTAGGGAGTGTGAAAGAGGGTCGTGTCTGTGGAAGCCTCCCAGTACAGCAGAATCTCACAGCCAGCTTCTGCCACAGGGAGAAGCTAGGCTTCCACTGTTTAAAGACAATGGGGAATTTGAACAGGTGCTGTAGGTGTCTCCCCTTCTGTAAAGGCAGTCTCCCTTGTATAGGGGTTTGTCTTTTGTTCAGCTTGCTTAGCCCTCCCTAAAGTAAAACCAAGACCTCGTCGTTTAACCTAGAAGCACGTTGTAGGGAATTTCATGTTGATATTTAAGAGCTAAGAACACATTGTTGATTTCAGTGTTTGAAATGAAGGAAATTGAGAAAAATCAAAGGAACGATGTTTGTACTGTCTATGGTTAGAAGGTATAATTTTAACAGAGTAGGGACACCATTGGCTATGAATACATATATACTGTATGTGTTTACATGTATTTTGTGCGCACAAACTGTTTACATGGACAATCATGCTGAGTCTTTATGTGAGCACTGGTGGTGGGGAGGCTTGATATGGTACCAGATCTCTTTGGCTATTGTCTTAATTTGGAGGTTTGGCATTATATTTTTACAGAGGTGTCTTTGGGGGGCGGGGTTTGGACTCTAGCTTAATTTACTGGTTGATGCTGGATATGGGCAGGATCTGGGACTAAACTTAGTTCCAGCAGGAAGCTGGTGCTAAAAGCCTGGTATCCATATCAACGAGAGGCCACTCTTGTAAACAGAGAATGATATTGTATTACCTACAATTATTGCATGCAGTTGTGTGCTACCCATCCCTCCCTCTCTCCCTCCCACCACACCCTTAGCAACACAGGAGGCAACAGAGAACCTTGCTAAAAGCTGGGAATTGAGAATATGTAAGTATTGGTTCACAAGTTGTATAATGAGTGTATCACGTAATGTGCCCTGCAGTTTCATTATTTTTTTTACAAAGCATTGTGGTTCACATAAGTCACGTTGGAAATGTACATAAAACCTGAAAGCATCAGGCTGCAGAAATGTAGTTATTAGCCAGTGTTTAAAATTGTAGGTAGCTAGAAGGAATACAATTAAAGTGCTCAGTGGAAGTGACAGAGTGAATCACAGGAGCCTGGTGTTACAGAATGTAATTAATGTACCAGGCTGTTTGGAGATATAGGAAACAAATGCAATTAACCAGCTTGCTAGAAGGACAGGAGCAAGGCATAATTTATTCAAGTTTTCTTCCATGGAGAACACAACTTGAACCTTAAAAAAAAACCCATTCTTTTACAAGGTAGGTCTATGAGCAAACTTATTGGTCCATCTTTGACAAATATGGACTTACTCAAAATCTGTGAAAAGCACTTTATGGGAAGGTTTTGACTAGACTATGATAATCTCAGTAGATACAATCCTGTACATAGAATTGCAATCAATAGTTGTTGCTGTTCTTCTGAAACATATTCATATCTACATTGTTCTGAAACATAAAATGTAGATCTGTATCTTGGAAGCCTATTGTATTTTACATTAGCTTACTGATGTCCCTATCTTCCCAGAAACACAGAAATGAAATTTGCCACATAACACGAACAGGATGCCATTAAAGGCAGCTTCACATGTTATCCTTTTCTTAAAATATTAGAAAATGCTAATATCACATATTTGCAGGCATGTATAATACATATGAGGGAGGCTGCCAAAGGTACACTCAGTAGCAAACCTGAGTCCATCATGGTTTGCCCACCATACATACTAAGCTATCTTTCCCACTGAGTATAATATGTGAAATGATCCTAAACTGCTTTAACATATGTTTTATTTTTTCTGTATTATGAATAAAACAGTAAGCATGAAGAAAGCATAACTGAGGAAGAAAGACCCTTTGTTGAAACTCAAACCAGCTGTTTCCCCCCCCTCCTTAAAAATAGGTCATCCCTCACTCACAAGCTAAGGCTTTGAGCTTCCGAGAGCTCTCCCTTTATATCATTATGATTTTTGTATCTTTTGGGTATGAATGCAGTCAGAGAAAAGCAAACCATGTGTGTTTGAGACATAATGTCAGGAAGATATACTCCATGCCTATCTCTGAGTACCCAGAGAAACATGAGTGGCCTACAGGTGATATTACATGGTGGTATGATGCAGATTCAGATGGTGAATTGTCTTAGTTCTTGTGCCTTCTTAGTACAGTGGTACCTCAGGTTACATACACTTCAGGTTACATACGCTTCAGGTTACAGACTCCGCTAATCCAGAAATAGTACCTCGGGTTAAGAACTTTGCTTCAGGATAAGAACAGAAATCGTGCTCCTGCGGCACGGCAGCAGCAGGAGGCCCCATTAGCTAAGGTGGTGCTTCAGTTTAAGAACAGTTTCAGGTTAAGAACAGACCTCTGGAACGAATTAAGTACTTAACCCAAGGTACCACTCTATCTTGAAATTTTAGACTTCGATGAAAATGGGACAAAATGTGCCATTTGTGTTGTGAATGTGGATTTATGGCAGTTCAGATCACATCCTTTGCCATCTATTTAGGGATAACTGTAATTCCAATCTTCCCAGCATTCTACCTTGATACCAGTCTTTTTACCATTTCTGAAAGTTAAAAAGGGCTCTTGTCATATCGCACACCCAGCTGAAGTAATGGTTGAAAAAGTAATTTTTGTTCATTAATTTCTTTCTTTGACTATTTTGTAGGAAGGGTGGGCCTCTGGATCAGACATAATGCCCATTTAGTCCAGCAGCCTGTTTCTCACAGTGTCCAACCAGAAAGGTGAGGTCATTAGCCCTTTCCCACTGTTCCTTAGTATTCAGAGGCATCGGGACTGGTAGCTATTCGTGGACCTGTTCTTCAAGAATTTGTCTAATCCACCTTTAAAGCTATCCAGATTGGTGGGAATCACCACATCCTGTGGTAGGAAGCACTTATTTAGGAGGTGTTTAGTCATGTCAGACTCTTCATGATGCCGTGGACCAGAGCATGCCAGACACTTCTGTCTTCCACTGCCTCCCGCAGTTTGGTCAAACTCATGTTAGTAGCTTTGAGAACGCTGTCCAACCATCTCTTCCTCTGTTGTCCCATTCTCCTTGTGCCCTCAATCTTTCCCAACATCAAGGTCTTTTCCAAGGAGTCTTCTCTTCCCATGTGGTGGCCAAAGTATTGGAGCCTCATCTTTAGAATGTGATCTTCCAGTGAGCACTCAGGGCTGATTTCCTTAAGAATGGATAGGATTGATCATCTTGCAGTCTATGGGACTCTCAAGAGTCTCCTCCAGCACCATAATTCAAAAGCATCAATTCTTTGGCGATCAGCCTTCTTTATGGTCCAGCTCCCACTTCCATACATCACTACTGGGAAAACCATAGCTTTAACCAAATGGACCTTGGTCAGCAAGGTGATGTCTCTGCTTTTTAAGATGCTGTCTAGGTTTGTCATTGCTTTTCTCCCAAGAAGCAGGCGTCTTTTAATTTCATGACTGCAGTGATCATGGAGCCCAAGAAAGTAAAATCTCTCACTGCCTCCATTTCTTCCCCTTCTATTTGTCAGGAGGTGATGGGACCAGTGGACTTATTTAGGTAGGAAGTATTTATTTTTGTCTATCTCTCCTGCTGTGATTGGATGACCCCACATTCTAGTATTATGAGAGAGGGAGGAAAAACAAGTTTCTCTATCCAGTTTATTTACATCGTGCATAATATTATGAACCTCTGTCACATTCCTCCATTGTCAACTTTTTTCAACACTAAAATCCCCATATGTTGTAACCCTGTCTATCCACCTGATCATTTTGGCTGATTTTTTCCCCTGGACCTTTCACAGATCTA